TGCTGAAGGCACTCCCTGGGGATGAAGAGTGCCTCTTAACACTGACTGCATGACCTACTGAAGGCACTCCCTGGGGATGAAGAGTGCCTCTTAACACTGACTGCATGACCTGCTGAAGGCACTCCCTGGGGATGAAGAGTGCCTCTTAACACTGACTGCATGACCTACTGAAGGCACTCCCTGGGGATGAAGAGTGCCTCTTAACACTGACTGCATGACCTACTGAAGGCACTCCCTGGGGATGAAGAGTGCCTCTTAACACTGACTGCATGACCTGCTGAAGGCACTCCCTGGGGATGAAGAGTGCCTCTTAACACTGACTGCATGACCTACTGAAGGCACTCCCTGGGGATGAAGAGTGCCTCTTAACACTGACTGCATGACCTACTGAAGGCACTCCCTGGTATGAAGAGTGCCTCTTAACACTGACTGCATGACCTACTGAAGGCACTCCCTGGGGATGAAGAGTGCCTCTTAACACTGACTGCATGACCTACTGAAGGCACTCCCTGGGGATGAAAAGTGCCTCTTAACACTGACTGCATGACCTGCTGAAGGCACTCCCTGTGGATGAAGAGTGCCTCTTAACACTGACTGCATGACCTACTGAAGGCACTCCCTGGGGATGAAAAGTGCCTCTTAACACTGACTGCATGACCTGCTGAAGGCACTCCCTGGGGATGAAAAGTGCCTCTTAACACTGACTGCATGACCTGCTGAAGGCACTCCCTGGGTATGAAGAGTGCCTCTTAACACTGACTGCATGACCTGCTGAAGGCACTCCCTGGGGATGAAGAGTGCCTCTTAACACTGACTGCATGACCTGCTGAAGGCACTCCCTGGGGATGAAAAGTGCCTCTTAACACTGACTGCATGACCTGCTGAAGGCACTCCCTGGGGATGAAAAGTGCCTCTTAACACTGACTGCATGACCTGCTGAAGGCACTCCCTGGGGATGAAGAGTGCCTCTTAACACTGACTGCATGACCTGCTGAAGGCACTCCCTGGGGATGAAGAGTGCCTCTTAACACTGACTGCATGACCTGCTGAAGGCACTCCCTGGGTATGAAGAGTGCCTCTTAACACTGACTGTATGACCTGCTGAAGGCACTCCCTGGGGATGAAGAGTGTCTCTTAACACTGACTGCATGACCTGCTGAAGGCACTCCCTGGGGATGAAGAGTGCCTCTTAACATTGGATAATGTAACTTGATTTAACAGGGTGCCAGGGTTGTTACTAGAGAGAAGAACTGGTTAATTACTTATATAATTCAATAGAAAATTGCTTTTTAATTCTACAAGCAAGATTTACGGTCATCTTAAAGCGCCATCTATGACACTGCAACAGCAAGACAAGTGGGAATATCCCTTAGAAACTTCAGGGAGAACCTTCACTTAGAATACACACATAATCCGGGTTATTTTCTGCATTGTCCCAGTGGTTCGGTTGGCAACGTTCTTGTCTCACTAAGTGTTCGTGCACAGGAATCACATGACTTCATCGTCTACCCGTCCTCATCCCAATATGGCACTTTTAGGACACCAGCGTCACTCACACCTCATTGTCTTGTAACTTCTGTATGTTAGAAGTGATCAAGGTCCCAGGACAGAAACGTCTTGTAATAAATATGCCCTAGTGTTTGTTTACGTGTCTTTCTAAAACAAGTTGTCGGTATTTATTACCAAGGTTTAGATCACATCTACGTCTGAATCAGTTATCCTACCTAACTTCGTGTCATCAGCGAATTTGCTCGTGTCACTAGCAATTCCCTCGTCAAGGTCACTGCTATATATTATAAATAACAACGGGCCCAAGACTGATCCCTGTGGAACGCCACTTGTTAAAGATCCCCACTCGGATTTAACCCCATTTATGGACACTCTCTGCTACCTGTCTGTGAGCCATGACTCGATCCATGACATGACTTTTTCCCCAATGCCATGAGCTGCAACTTTCTTTAACAGTCTATGGTGCGGTACTCTATCAAAAGCCTTACTAAAATCCAAATAAATAATATCGAGGTCTTGATCATGATCAACGTCCTCAAAAGCTTTACTGAAGAAAGTTAATAAATTAGACAAGACCGGCCTCTCGTGAATCCATGCTGAGTATCATTAATCAAATTATGCTTATCAAGATAGCTTCTTATAATATCAGCTATAATTGACTCTAGTAATTTGCCTACAATTAAGGTCAAGCTTTCTGGGCGGTAATTTGAATGTAACGACTTGTCCCCTGCTTTATAAATAGGAATTACATTAGCCATCTTCCACATATCAGACGACACACCTACTTGAAGAGATATATTAAAAATGTTAGTTAACAGTTCACAGAGTTCCATTTTGCATTCCTTAAGAACCCTTGGAAAAACCTCATCAGGACCCGGGGATTTATTTTGCTTCAGTCGGTCTACTTGTATGATAATCATATCCCTAGTGACTGTGATGTTACATAATTTATCTTCTTCTAGCCCACTATAAAAATTAATTACTGGGATATTGTTAGTGTCTTCCTGTGTAAAAACCGAGAGAAAATAATTATTTAAAATCGAGCACATTTCATTCTCTTTGTCAGTAAGATGCCCATAGTTATTTTTAAAGGGATCTATCTTTTCTCTAACTTTTGTTCTATAAACCCGGAAAAAAAAAATCTTTCGGGTTAGTTTTCGAATCCTTAGCAACTTGAATTTCATAGTCCCGTTGAGTTTTTCTTATCCCCTTATTTAACCTCCCTCTTAATATCAATATATTTATTCATAAGATGACCCTCACCTCTTTCGATATGTCTTCAACTTCCTTTCTTCTGCCCTAAAAGATGTTTGAGCCTATTATTCATCCTTTTCGAGTCATTTCAGTCAATTCTATTCAATTTTAGTTCTTATCTGGGATAAATGTTCTTTGGGTAGCATGTATAGTGTTGGAAAACCTGTCATATTGATAGCTCTCTTCGTTACCCCAGTCCACACATGACAGGTGTTCTCTAAGCCTTTTGTAATCTGTTAGGTGAATATCTAGGGCGGTTATTGAATTTACGGTGGCCCGTGGCCTTGTGGCAAAGCTGTCGCTTCACATGCTCAGTGTCCGGATTCGATTCCCAGCAAGGGTGGAAACACTGGACGTGTTTTCTTGCACCAGTTGTCCATGTTCACACATCAGTAAAAATGGGTACCTGGGTGTTAGTCGACTGGTGTGAGTCGCATCCTGGGACAAAATTGACCTAATTTGCCCAAAATATTCTGCATAACAAGCGGCTTTCTATACAGTAGTATGTCATTGATGTCAACTAGACCTGTATACCTTGTACATGTACTTGTAAAAACAAAAATATATTATCCCTACTATCATACTTCCACTCATTTCTAAATGTAACTGATTTGTGGTCGTTTGTGCCAAGTTCCTCTGTAATTTCAAATTATTAACAAGGGATTCCTTGTTTGCCAGAACCAAGTCAAGCAGGTTATTTTCTGAGGCATGATACGAGTATGTTACAATTTATTCGGTGTATGTCACACTCCTATATAGGCTGCCTCCCAACCAGCGAAATGGGTGCTAAGGGTTTAGTGATCAGTAGCGTACCCATCGTCAAATCTGTACCTTGCTTCACTGGCCAATCACAGGCAAGCCCACCAAAGCTGAAGCACTTGTCTCAAGAGAACTCACAGACTTTCCTAAGCTGCTGGTTGATTATGGTGCACTCTTTCTGGTTTCTGTTTCTGCCATCTTTCGTCACAGTGCGATACACTTAATATTCAACCTCTGTACATAGTGTACATACTTGTATATATTTGGCAAATTATATCTGGTGAAGGAAATACAAGTTATATACTACTGTTGATTTTTGTTGCTCCAGTTTGCATCCCATTATGACCAGGTCGCAGGCCATATTTTTCCTGTGTTTGTAATATTTTGTCTTGCAGGTTCTGTAACAAACTGCTTAAAAAAATCATGAACTACCTTGAAGAAGTCGTTAGACTCTGAATTCCCAGTCAAGGAATTCCAATCAACCTGACTGAAGTTAAAGTCTCCTAGAAATACTACGTTATCCTGCCTTGTGGCCCTAACATTTTCCTCTAGAAGTAGTCTCAACTAATCCTTATCCAAGTTTGGGGTACGATATATCTTGCCTAAAATAAATTTTTTCATGCCTCTTTGAAAATTCTAACCAGACAGATTTTATATGTTGTTCCAGACTTTATACCCGTTTTTATGCAACAATTTAAGTGATCTCGGACATACATGGCCACCACATTCCCATTTCCATTTTTCTTTTGTCTACGTGGAACATTTTAAAACGTTGACTTTGACATTCAGCAGGCATATTCCGATTTTTCATTTTAGACCAGGTCTCAGCTATGGCAAATACATCTTGCAACTTGCAACTGATCTCAGCTAGTCCATCTTATTTCTAACGCTACGACCATTTGTATAAAAATCAATTTACAAACCCTCGCTTCTTTTTTCCCTTCCTCCTCATTTTTTGTTCCTCCACTATCCCTATTACTGTCCTTATCACCAGTGCCACTGGCTTTCCAATATTCACCAATAAATTTCTCATTCTGCCTATAACTGGTTGCCCTAAAACTCACGCTATCGCTACACTGAGAATTCATTGCTCTCCACAAAACCCCATACCACTAGCTATTTCTACTTTAAGACTCGACGTTTTAATTTAGAATTCTGAAATTGGGATAATTGTTAATTGTACCCTTTTGCCTTATCTTCTTCTGTTGTGTTTTCTTGTACCTCAGAATAAGTCTCATGCAGTATTTTTAAGTTGAATTAATTCACGATAGAAAAGGTAATGGATAATGGATATGCAGATGAGTGGAAGACTCGACTGAAAGTCTCCTGCAATGTTTACTTTCTCTCAAACACCTAAATGGTCTACATACGTAGGGGCTTCCTTCCATCTGTAGTAATATCACCTACAGAGGGTCACCAGCTACAGTATTTGCGTTATTTTTCAGTCATTGAATACTGCTTCGACTACTGTTTCCTACCTGTTTTAAGTGCTCGTTTGGTGTACTCGACGCCCAGGAGGTAGTTGATAAAGGATGACTTGCCAGTAGAATAGGGTCCTACCAACAGGATGAGCGGCGTGCCGAAGAGCTCAGCGTCAGAAACGTGCCGGTTAGAGATGTCCTGGTACTTGTAGAGCACCTCCAGGGGCTTGATGGTGCTCTCGTAGATCTTTTTGAGCTCCTGCAGTGTGGCTTCAGCGATGGGGTCGGTGCGAACGGCAGCTTCCTGAGAGGACACATCCAGGCCCAAGATGGCTTCCAGACGGTCTCTGGAGCGGTAGGCGGTAGGTACCACCACTATCTGTCAACACAACGATCCGTCTCACTCCTCAACCTCGCCAGGAATGAATTTCACAGTAGCTAACACATTTCACAAATAGTCTTCAACTCACAGTGCCCTGGCTGACAGTTCACAAACAGTCCTCAACTCACAGTACCCTGGCTGACAGTTTACAAAAAGTGCTCAACTCACAGTGCCCTGGCTGACAGTTCACAAACAGTCCTCAACTCACAGTGCCCTGGCTGACAGTTCACAAACAGTCCTCAACTCACAGTACCCTGGCTGACAGTTCACAAACAGTTCTCAACTCACAGTACCCTGGCTGACAGTTCACAAACAGTCCTCAACTCACAGTACCCTGGCTGACAGTTCACAAACAGTCCTCAACTCACAGTACCCTGGCTGACAGTTCACAAACAGTTCTCAACTCACAGTACCCTGGCTGACAGTTCACAAACAGTCCTCAACTCACAGTGCCCTGGATGACAGTTCACAAACAGTCCTCACTCACAGTACCTGGCTGACAGTTCACAAACAGTTCTCAACTCAGAGTACCCTGGCTGACAGTTCACAAACAGTCCTCAACTCACAGTACCCTGGCTGACAGTTCACAAACAGTCCTCAATTCACAGCACCCTGGCTGACAGTTCACAAACAGTCCTCAACTCACAGTACCCTGGCTGACAGTTCACAAACAGTCCTCAACTCACAGTACCCTGGCTGACAGTTCACAAACAGTCCTCAACTCACAGTACCCTGGCTGACAGTTCACAAACAGTCCTAAACTCTCAGTACCCTGGCTGACAGTTCACAAACAGTCCTCAACTCACAGTACCCTGGCTGACAGTTCACAAACAGTCCTCAACTCACAGTACCCTGGCTGACAGTTCACAAACAGTCCTCAACTCACAGTACCCTGGCTGACAGTTCACAAAAAATCCTCAACTCAGAGTACCCTGGCTGACAGTTCACAAACAGTCCTCAACTCACAGTACCCTGGCTGACAGTTCACAAACAGTCCTCAATTCACAGCACCCTGGCTGACAGTTCACAAACAGTCCTCAACTCACAGTACCCTGGCTGACAGTTCACAAACAGTCCTCAACTCACAGTACCCTGGCTGACAGTTCACAAACAGTCCTCAACTCACAGTACCCTGGCTGACAGTTCACAAACAGTCCTCAACTCTCAGTACCCTGGCTGACAGTTCACAAACAGTCCTCAACTCACAGTACCCTGGCTGACAGTTCACAAACAGTCCTCAACTCACAGTACCCTGGCTGACAGTTCACAAACAGTCCTCAACTCACAGTACTCTAGCTGACAGTTCACAAACAGTCCTCAACTCACAGTACCCTGGCTGACAGTTCACAAACAGTCCTCAACTCACAGTACCCTGGCTGACAGTTCACAAACAGTCCTCAACTCACAGTATCCTGGCTGACAGTTCACAAACAGTCCTCAACTCACAGTACCCTGGCTGACAGTGCACAAACAGTCCTCAACTCACAGTACCATGGGTGTCAGTTCACAAACAGTCCTCAACTCACAGTACCCTGGCTGACAGTTCACAAACAGTCCTCAACTCACAGTACCCTGGCTGACAGTTCACAAACAGTTCTCAACTCACAGTACCCTGGCTGACAGTTCACAAACAGTCCTCAACTAACAGTACCCTGACTGACAGTTCACAATCAGTCCTCAACTCACAGTACCCTGGCTGACAGTTCACAAACAGTCCTCAACTCAGAGTACCCTGGCTGACAGTTCACAAACAGCCCTCAACTCACAGTACCCTTGCTGACAGTTCACAAACAGTCCTCAACTCACAGTACCCTGACTGACAGTTCACAAACAGTCCTCAACTCACAGTACCCTGGCTGACAGTTCACAAACAGTCCTCAACTCACAGTACCCTGACTGACAGTTCACAAACAGTTCTCAACTCACAGTACCCTGGCTGACAGTTCACAAACAGTCCTCAACTCACAGTACCATGGCTGACAGTTCACAAACAGTCCTCAACTCACAGTACCCTGGTTGACAGTTCACAAACAGTCCTCAACTCACAGTATCCTGGCTGACAGTTCACAAACAGTCCACAACTCCCAGTACCCTGGCTGACAGTTCACAAACAGTCCTCAACTCACAGTACCATGGCTGACAGTTCACAAACAGTCCTCAACTCACAGTACCCTGGCTGACAGTTCACAAACAGTCCTCAACTCACAGTACCATGGCTGACAGTTCACAAACAGTCCTCAACTCACAGTACCATGGCTGGCAGTTCACAAACAGTCCTCAACTCACAGTATCCTGGCTGACAGTTCACAAACAGTCCTCAAATCACAGTACCCTGGCTGACAGTTCACAAACAGTCCTCAACTCACAGTACCATGGCTGACAGTTCACAAACAGTCCTCAACTCACAGTACCATGGCTGACAGTTCACAAACAGTCCTCAACTCACAGTATCCTGGCTGACAGTTCACAAACAGTCCTCAACTCACAGTACCATGGCTGACAGTTCACAAACAGTCCTCAACTCACAGTACCATGGCTGACAGTTCACAAACAGTCCTCAACTCACAGTATCCTGGCTGACAGTTCACAAACAGTCCTCAACTCACAGTACCCTGGCTGACAGTTCACAAACAGTCCTCAACTCACAGTACCATGGCTGACAGTTCACAAACAGTCCTCAACTCACAGTACCATGGCTGACAGTTCACAAACAGTCCGCAACTCACAGTATCCTGGCTGACAGTTCACAAACAGTCCTCAACTCACAGTACCATGGCTGACAGTTCACAAACAGTCCTCAACTCACAATACCCTGGCTGACAGTTCACAAACAGTCCTCAACTCACAGTACCATGGCTGACAGTTTCACAAACAGTCCTCAACTCACAGTACCATGTGACATACAACAGCTAATCAGTCCTGGCTGCAGTCACAAACAGTCCTCAACTCACAGTACCATGGCTGACAATTCACAAACAGTCCTCAACTCACAGTACCATGGCTGACAGTTCACAAACAGTCCTCAACTCACAGTACCATGGCTGACAGTTCACAAACAGTCCCTCAACTCACAGTACCATGGCTGACAGTTCACAAACAGTCCTCAACTCACAGTACCATGGCTGACAGTTCACAAACAGTCCTCAACTCACAGTACCATGGCTGACAGTTCACAAACAGTCCTCAACTCACAGTACCATGGCTGACATTCACAAACAGTCCTCAACTCACAGTACCATGGCTGACAGTTCACAAACAGTCCTCAACTCACAGTACCCTGGCTGACAGTTCACAAACAGTCCTCAACTCACAGTACCCTGGCTGACAGTTCACAAACAGTCCTCAACTCACAGTACCCTGGCTGACAGTTCACAAACAGTCCTCAACTCTACAGTACCTGGCTGACAGTTTCACAAACAGTCCTCAACTCACAGTACCCTGGCTGACAGTTCACAAACAGTCCTCAACTCACAGTACCCTGGCTGACAGTTCACAAACAGTCCTCAACTCACAGTTTCCCTGGCTGACAGTTCACAAAACAGTCCTCAACTCACAGTACCCTGACTGACAGTTCACAAACAGTCCTCAACTCACAGTACCCTGGCTGACAGATTCACAAACAGTTCCTCAACTCACAGTACCCTGGCTGACAGTTCACAAACAGTCCTCAACTCACAGTACCCTTGCTGACAGTTCACAAACAGTCCTCAACTCACAGTACCCTGGCTGACAGTTCACAAACAGTTCTCAACTCACAGTACCCTGGCTGACAGTTCACAAAAGTCCTCAACTCACAGTCCTGGCTGACAGTTCACAAAAAGTTCCTCAACTCACAGTGCCCTGGCTGACAGTTCACAAACAGTTCTCAACTCACAGTACCCTGGCTGACAGTTCACAAACAGTCCTCAACTCACAGTACCCTGGCTGACAGTTCACAAACAGTCCTCAACTCACAGTACCCTGACTGACAGTTCACAAACAGTCCTCAACTCACAGTACCCTGGCTGAGAGTTCACAAACAGTCCTCAACTCACAGTACCCTGACTGACAGTTCACAAACAGTCCTCAACTCACAGTACCCTGGCTGACAGTTCACAAACAGTCCTCAACTCACAGTACCCTGGCTGACAGTTCACAAACAGTCCTCAACTCACAGTACCCTGACTGACAGTTCACAAACAGTCCTCAACTCACAGTACCCTGGCTGACAGTTCACAAACAGTCCTCAACTCACAGTACCCTGACTGACAGTTCACAAACAGTCCTCAACTCACAGTACCCTGGCTGACAGTTCACAAACAGTCCTCAACTCACAGTATCCCCGGCTGACAGTTCACAACAGTCCTCAACTCACACCCTGACTGACAGTTCACAAACAGTCCTCAACTCACAGTACCCTGGCTGACAGTTCACAAACAGTCCTCAGATTCGAAAGAGGAAATTGAAAAACAAATACAAAAATAAAATAAGAAAAAAGACTGGCTAAATTGGATCTTTAATCTCTGGATAAAGTGTGAAGGCTAGTTGCTACTACTAGCACTAGGAGAACTATGCTTAGCTGCTACTATTAGCACTAGGAAAACTATGGTTAGCTGCTACTATTAGCACTAGGAAAACTGTGGTTAGCTGCTACTACTAGCACTAGGAGAACTATGCTTAACTGCTACTACTAGCACTAGGAAAACTATGGTTAGCTGCTACTACTAGCACTAGGAAGACTATGGTTAGCTGCTACTACTAGCAGTAGATAAACTATTGTTAGCTGCTACTACTAGCACTAGGTAAAGTATGGTTAGCTGCTACTACTAGCACTAGGAAAACTATGGTTATCTGCTAATACTATCACTAGGGAAACTATTGTTAGCTGCTACTACTAGCACTAGGTAAACTATGGTTAGCTGCTACTACTAGCACTAGGTAAACTATGGTTAGCTGCTACTACTAGCACTAGGTAAACTATGGTTAGCTGCTACTACTAGCACTAGGAAAACTATGAT